TACTCTTGGTAACTTTTCAAGGGCTACGATGGAATACGCTTTGTAACTTTTCAGAGGCTACGATGAGATACGCTTTGTAACTTTTCAAGGGCTATCATGGGATACTCTTCAGTGGCGTACGCAGGAGGCCAAGGGGGCCCGGGTCCCCCTTTGAAGACAAGTTCCCTGTGGGGATACGGATAAAAAAAGTACTATGGTACAAATTTTTGAAAAAGTTCAGTGCGGGTTCCTTCCTTGAGAATTTGGACCTCTCTCTTGGAAAATTTCTGCCTACGCCACTGGTACTCTTGGTAACTTTTCAAAAACTATTTGGAAATACTCTCTGTAGCTTTTCAAGAGCTTCCAATGGATGCTCTTTGTAATTTTTTAATAGTACCTAGGCATGGTATTTGCTATCAGTTCGGAGTAAAGAAGACATCATATGTGTATTTGATGGTAGTAATTTAACATGCTACAAACGATCCTGTTGTTGATTCAGATTCTTTGAATAAATGGTCGCTCATATGAACTATGAAGAACTCCGGAAACGTCTTGTAGAGCATTTCATTGTTTTTTAGATGATAAACGTTTGATAGACCTCAGCTGCGTACATCAACTAACGTTGATGAGAAGACTAGCTGTATCTAGTCATTGAAATTTTAATAGTATTAACAGAATGTCTAAAACATGTGTAAAAAGGACTAGATAAGATTTTATTTAGGTTTCAGTAACATCTGCAGACTTATTTGTAACGTGCCAAATGGAAGACTTCCACTTTTGCTAGTTTTTCCTCGGCTATAGGTGTAAAGTGTACCGAAAATGTCATAGAAGGATAATTTAATTGCTTCAGGTCGAAGTCACGGAATCTAATCTGATGAGATCCCTAAAATGTTGAAGAATGTTGCACAGTAGGCATGCACTAGGATTCGATTCTTGGATATTATTAATATTGTTTACTTGCCAGCAATTTCCCAATGTTGGATATCATCAGATTCCTTCCTCATGATCTGATGGTATCTATCAGTGGAGTCTTGTTACAGGTGATGAAATCCAATTGTATATAACTTTTCGATATTGTCTTTTGTGATTATTAGATGGCATGTGTAAGGCTGACACTTTATCTTTATTTTACTTTGAAAAAGTAAAGTAAAGTACGTAACTTTACTTTATCCGTCAGAGTAAAGTATATATACTTTATCAGACAAGTAAAGTAAAGCGAATCTAAATACTTACAATTTGGTATTGATTTTGTAGTCTAAGATCATACTTTGATAATGGCGTCGCACCATTGTCAGTGTACGATATTGTGCTAAAAAATTAGCAATTAATTATAAGTGTTGTAATTCATTTTACTTTACTTTACTTTTTGTGAACAGTATATATACTTTGCTCTACTTTACCGGTAAAGTAAAGTTAGCTAATTAGCTTTACTTGCTCAAACAAATATAAAGTGCCACTCCTAGACGTGCGACATGTATTTGAAATACTTTTTAAGATGATTTGAAGCTGTCTACCAGTAATATAGGTAGCCAATTGATGGTCCTAAACGACTATGAATGGGGAGAAAGAGAACTATACGATTGAATGAAGAGAAAAGATTTTTTTTTTCAATTGTTTTTTGTTTAAATTAAGAGATCAGTTAAATGAACATAAAATATTTTTTTATTTGATTTTTTATTCAGACTGCGTCATGACAAGCCATCAATAAAAATTGAATATAAATAATTCATTTTCTTTTATTTTATTTTAGATTCGAAATTCACATTAGTTTAAGGAACGGCTTTTTTAAATTTAAGTTTATCAAATTTAGATGACAAATTCGTATAAGTTGAACAAGTGCTAAATTATATGTTCTATTTTAGTTTAACGTTCGGGTAAAATTACGGCATTAAATAAAGCAAAAGCTATAACTAATTATTATTTTCATTTTTGTTTTAGACTGTATTACGCGATCATTTTTGAAAAACATTATATTTTTAAACATGTTTATTTCAGATTATATTACGGAATGAAACCTATCAAAAGTGAATAGATATCATCAATGCATTTTTTTCCTTTACGTTAATTTTATTATTGAACAATTGAGTATAATAATAAGTTCTAATAAAGTATATGTAAACTTAATTTTCAAGCCATCGTACGAGTTGCAGCCAGTATGGGAGAGAATAAACAATATATGATATTCAAGTGTAAATTCTACATAATCTCATGGGATCTTATAGAATCCAACAAGATTCAACTGGAGTGTTTTTCGTCTTGGGATATTTACGCTTCCATTTCTAACTATCGAGAAAAAACATATATATGTATGGACACTTGTATGTGATATTATTTTTATGCAATTCCTGTTGCATTCTCTCTACTTGTTTCGGGGAAAGATCTGATAAAAATATTTTCGATTCAATTAATACAAGAGAATTGTGTAGTTTTGAGAAAGTTCCAACTCTGCTCTCTGTATTTTTAATCAGCGACGTTAAAAGTGAAAAAGATTATCTTGTCATGGCAAAAAAATCGTAATTTTTAAATTATTTTATGAATAAACAAAGCTATTAAACACTATTAGATGCGTAATTTATAGATTAAAGTACATATGTATGTATGTATATATATATACAAGAAGCACATGACTATCATCACGCATTGAAGAAGATAAACAAACGGTCAATTATTTTTCGATACTAACACGCACGTCTCTTGATGCTGAGTAGAAAAGAAAGAAATATGTACATATCTTTGTTAGGAAGAAAAATGTACTGCAAGAGAAAAGGAAAAATTGTTGTCTCATTCTATTTAAATTTATTCATCATTTTACGTTCTTTATTTACAATCGTGATTAGTGTGTAGTACACATTTGAATTCAATTTTTCAATCGATATAGTTACTTGTTGTATCTTGATCTGATGTATAACTCAAATATTGATAATCCATCAGATTTGGTCAAGTTGCCTCCTCGTGGTAGTAGTGATCGATCACAATCACAGATTAGAACATCTAGATCATCTACATTAAATCGATCATTACATCGTACTTTATCAAATGAAATTGTATCTTCATCGATTACTCGTCGTTCAAAACATCGATCTTCTTCCGGTACGCAAAATATGTGTCAGAATTCTTTTTGCCTTTGAAATAGTTTTTAATTGTCTACATAAAACCTATACTTCAGTAAATTATCTACGGGTAGTAGTTGGGAAAAAATTAAAATGCATTATGCATAGATGACGATTTTAGTAAGAACTGAAAGAAAAATAAAGTAGAATTTTTATTTCAAACTTTCGAATTTCTACAAATAGAAAAAGGGGTGTTCCTTGATAATGAATGCTTATCGAAATGAAAAAAAAGAGGATTTATCGATCTCTTGTTTTTTTCTTAAATTATTCGTCTGAGAGCTAACTAAAGCTTTCCAGTTGGTCGCATATTCTCATCGGCAGTTGCTTATCAATCATATTTTAACTGAATGAACCTGTAAAAATTTTTTGGGGGATATGTGCATTTCAATATCTGTTAAGTTGCGAAACAAGTACTTTAGTTAAGCGTTATCTATTATAAATTAGTTAATAATTTCTCCTTGTCTTATTACTTTATCTTTTTAGGACGGAGTCATAATCGAAAAGTCGTAGGTGATCCAAATATTGATTCTACCAATGTTTTATTATCGTCTAACAAATTCGAGAACAATGTTCAAGGTATTCAGAACTTGGATCAAAATGATGAAATGATAACAATAGAATCTGGTACTGATGTTCTCGATCGTGATTATTATCAAAATCAAAATTCTACAACTGATTCTGTTCAGTTAATTCATCCATTTGAAGTTGATAAAGTACTTCCACCAAAAATTACAACAACTTCTTCAGGGAAAAAAAAGGCAGAGGATGTTTTGAAATTCTTCGAGATGCAATCTGATGGAATGTACAAATGTTTATTATGTGTAGACGAACAGAAGGTAAACCTTTAGTCTTTCTCTAAAGCTAGTTTTGATTTAAAGAATCCTTGTGTGTTTATAAATTATTTGTAGTCGTATGAGTATCGTTTTTTATGAATAAAAATGTTAAAAATCTTGAAATGACAAATATAAATTAGAATATTGTAATGATTTTAAAAACTGTTAATGTTCTCATTAACCCTTTCAGTCCCGACTTTTTTTTTATTGAGTTTAAGTTTGAAAAAATATAGCACTAAGTGGCTAGATGGCATTACAAAACATCTGGTTAAGTTACAACAAAAAATTGTGTAATTATATGAGTACATATTCATTCAGTTTATTGTTGATATACACAGTTTTGATGATACAACGAAAAACAATTTTTTACACAAAGATAAACACCACAAAAAATACATATTACATTCGTTCTTTTTCTTTTTCTTTTGTACTACAATAAGCACATCTACGATAAGTTGAAACAACATCTGGTAAATAAGCTAACAATTGTACTTTTCCGAATTTTCTGTATCACTAATGCTCTCCTCGATTCGAATCTTCTTCTGATTAGTCATTGCCAAAGGTCTTCCTAGTCGTTTTCTACTACAATGGTTACCTATCAGTGCGGTACTAATACATGATATATATTCTACTGTACTAATATTACTGTTAGAAAGATCTTCATAATTCCCTCGACTGAAAGGAGGGTCATATGAAATAAAATAGTTTGCTTGCTTGTCGCAGGTCAAAAGAACATATATGAGAGGTCAGCTTATTTTAAGACTTTTCGCTGTTTTGACGGAACTTTGTTATAGGTTATCGAGGGCCCGAAATCCGAATCCGAAATCCTTTTTTTGGCCGAGCTTTTGATTGGTTAGGAACCGGCCAATCAGAAACGAGATTTTTTATTTTAAGACTTTTCGCCATTTTGACAAAACTTTGCTATAGGTTATCGAGCGCCCGGAATCCGAAATCCTTTTTGTTGGTCGAGCTTTCATTGGTCAGTAACCGGCCAATCAGAAACGAGCTTTTTTTGATTTTAAGGCTTTCGAC